GTTTATTTTATAAAATTGAAAATTTTATTACTAATATTTACTTATTTGGTTAAGCATATATTACAAACATATTAAACTAAAAATGCAATAAATTAAATTACATATTATACATATAAAAGTAAGAATTTAAATTCCTGCTGTGAAATGATATTCAGCGAAACAGGATACTATACACTATAGCCCCGTTCACATGCAACGCTCCTTCGCACAGCTGCCGTTAGCAAGAGGAGAAAAAGGAGACATGAAAGAGTTTCGTCTTTAGGACCCGTTCAGAAGAACACCGTCTTCCTTACCCTTTACACCTAAGCCTCTGTGAACAATCACGTCTCCGAATTTGCAGATTTCTAATACTGTTTACACATTTTTAACGTTGTTTACTGTTGTTAATTTTGTAATCTGTACTTTCGCAACTGGTACCTGAACTTTCTTAATGGTTCCTGAAAAATATATGCTTTTTAATTATTATTTTATAAGCTGTTATTTAGTTCACTCTTGGTGCTTGTCGCTATGGTTAAAAGATGGTCATGGATTTTTAAACTGCTTCCCGATAAGATATAGAACTCAAACTTTGTACATACACTGCTTGTGGATGTGGTGTACGCTTTTGAATTTTAGAGGATTAGATTTTCTTTAAATTTAAAGTTGAAACAATTTTTCGCAAATATTAACAAATAAACTGAGATTCTCAGAATATTACAGTTTGCACCATAACACACTGTGGAGGAAAAAAATTAAATGAAATTTTTAGCGTAATTTTTTTTAAAAATATTTTTGGGGAGAATTTTTGAAAATCGTTCATATTTTTAGACTTTTTGATGCCCATTAATTGAAATTTCATATCTAAAAATATATTGGTTACAAACTTCCGACATTTTCATGGCCTATAAAAACGTTTCGCATTTTAAAAAAATGATAAAGGAAATTAATTGAATATTTTTTTTACTTTTTTGAAAGATATGCAAATATTGAATGAAAGAAGAATGGTAAATATTGATTCTTCTTGGGCATCAATTCGAAACATCGGTTTCTAAGCAATAAGCTCATTATACCACACTATTTTTATGACATTATTTATGCTATATAAGTTGTTATTGTTGCCAGTTGTTAGTTCAGCGTGAGATTGGAGATATTTCTGAGTTAACTTTCTCTTAAGATGCGTTTTGCATTCCGTTGTGTTTAACGTTCTTATTAGATTGAAGCATAACTACTGATTATACTTAGTGATATTCTAAACACTTGTACGAGTATTTCTATGGAAGATTCCAGAACTTTGAAGTGTCTCTGTTGATAAATAAATTTAATTAAGCTATCATCGGATTTGAGTCCAATGACAATCATTTACGAACTATTATCAATCTATTACAAACCCGTACGCACGCAACAATATTATAATTAATCAATGTATTAAAATTGTTTTGAACGCGTTTTACAAAACAAAAACAGGTAACGAAAAATTCTGCTAGCGTTTTATGAGTTTTTGCAATTTTTCTGGCCACATTAGGTTTTAAAAAAAGGTTTGTAATTTATGTTTACATTTACCAATTGAATAAATAGCACTAGGTTTGATTTATATATATGTGTGTGTGTGTATTGAAATTCAGTAATAAAATTTTAAAGATTTGAAATGATTAAATGTCTATTTAGACAGTTTCTATTCTTTAAACTGCAAATGCAAACTGAGAAACCTTTTGCATTTTTTTTTCAATAAATCCTTTTACTTAAACTCCTAAAACATATATAGGTATGGACTAAATTTTTTATTATTTTTACTGCTTATTTAAAATTATATACTTACAGGAACAAGGATGGGTTTTGCAAAATACTGAAAGGAAAAATAATTTGAAATGAAAATGTGACTGAGATCATATTTGTTTTAGATTTTAGATAAAAATTTATTTTTATTTTTTTCTCAGAAACTAATTCATTAATTGCAAAATCATTCCTTGAAATTATTAAGAACACTCTAATAAATACAATAAAAAAACTGGGGGAAGACATTAAAAATTGTAGAAGAAGAAAGACATTTTAATTGTAAAATTTTTTTTCAAAAATTTTAATTAAAAAAATTACTAGCAAAAACTTATTAAAATTATTTTGTCTCACAAAACCATTTAATAATATTCATAAAAAGTAGATGAAAATGCTTAAATTTTTTTTTAAAAAAATCATTCAAAAGGTACCGAGTCCCTTGTCGCGTTGAGGCCGATATGCACTTGTCTTAACTTTAGCTTTAATTTGAACGATATTTCTGGAATACCTAGCATCAGATAACGTTTTTTGTATTTGTCTATAATTTCCGTATCTTGTACAGTTCTATTTAATTTTTGGGGGGATGCTATCACATCTCCAGACATCTATCAGCACGATTGTTTCGCTGACAGTGAACCGCGCAGTATAGTACGGGAAATCTCCCCATTTGCCCTGCTCCCGAGAGTTAAGGAACATTCAACCAAGTTCTACCTCCAATTCGGCGAGGCAGTTAATGCTTGTCCCATGTGAACGACGCACGTTGGAAGAACCGGTTTTCGCTACCGGTCGAAACTGCTCTTGTGAACTGGGCTTATGGGACTTTGCAAATCGAACCCCAGTAATGCGATTCCTTCCTGATCTTATGTTTATAGCAGTGTTAACACCTTCGCATAGGGTTGTTTTTTTTTTTCCGATGTTCCGATTATATAATCTAGAACATGATTCCCACCTAATTGGCTTGTATTAGACCTAAGTGGCTGAGTTTGTGTCGATTTATTTCTTTCAATTGGATATGTCGCAAAAGTGTCTTCAATAAATTTGAGCAAAAAGTTGATATGCGATAATGTTCCATTATTTTTTTTATAGAATATGAATGCATTCAAACACATAATGTCTAAGAAATGGAGAAATATCTTTTTGTAGTACTTTTTGAGTCGTTTTCTTGCTGTGCAGTACGCTATGATAATTCCATTGCTCATATCCACTCCAGCCATTTTTTTCATTTTAATCAATCACTAGCTCCGGTTTCTTTGCTATTATTTTCTTTTCTCAGTTTCTATTACATTATCATTATGTACAGTACTTAATAAAACTCCCTGTTATCTTTCCATTTTATTATACGCATGATGCTCGTTAGTACACAAAATCGTGCCGCTTCTCCGTGATGAATATACTCGTCAATCACAGTTAACTGGTTAAAGATGGTTGTTGTTTAGAGAAGTGTGGCTTAGCATGTTTAATAGAGGTCCTGAAGCATAATTATTATGCAGGTATTACCATATAGCAAAATCTAGATAACCAAAAGAAAAGAAACCATTTTCAATAATTATGAAAAATGGTCGTTCTGCTTAGGACAATATGAGCCCATCAGTATAGAATGGGACATTTTAGGACATTGGTACATATTTGTCATTTGTTACTCATGTTGTTTACTAAACAGTTGAGAAGAACTTGGAGGATTCTAACTCATTCATCTATCATTTTGATTCTGAGGTTTGAAAACTTTCTTTGAGCAATATGTCTGTCTACATAGTGTTTAGGCATCCAGAGAATATGTAGGCCATGTCATGCATTCAGTATCTTTCTCAGCTAATGTGTTGGACATTTCAGGTGTCTTATGTGGATGTGAACAGATTCTGAACCAACTGTACCACAAAAAGGTGAGCATGATCCTAGAGAATTTCAGTGCAGTATGGCTGTGATGTCACTGCACCTGTGTTAAAATGTGATAATGAGCCAATTTTCTTAAGAAAGTCCGCCACAAAGGTACCTTTGTGTGCTTTACTATTTTCAAAGAAACAAATCTTTCTCCATACTAGCTGGTGTCCAAAATCATTGCTTATTGTGAAGTGGTATTCGTCAGAGATATGACTATTGATAACAGAAACTAATGAATATGCTCCTGATACCAGCATAATCTTTACTAATGATAGTATACTTATAGCAGAATGTATGCATAACAGGTTTTTGTTCATTTAAAGCCAGTTGTAATCTCTTAGAAATGGTTTTCGTAGATATGCTAGTGCCCATAGTGTTGGCAAGGTCTACTGGTCAGGAGTAGTATTGCTGTTCCTTTTCACTACTAGTTTCCTGTATCTTGTCATAAGGTGTGGTGGCCTTATTTCATTACCTTCAACAGTCTTCTTTAACAACGAGATTGCATTCTTTTATTCATCTATTGCTGTAGTAACTTGAGTGACACTTCTCCCTGTCACAAGATGTCCGAAATTGTACTCACTCAAATGATGCCTTATAAACATTCTATAATGAAAACTTGCTATAAAAAATGAAAGTTTATTATTTCCAGAAAGTGATTCCCCTCCAAGACTTTACTTCTTAAAATAAATAATGAATAAGGAAACAATGAGAGAGCAATGCTATTTATACAAATAAGAAGTCTTGCCGTACAGTGTTCTTTGCTTTTATTTTTCTTGTGACAACATGGCTATTGAGAAAAAAAAATTCGTTCCATTGGTTGTTCCTTAGCAATTGTCAAGCAGTGTAATTATGCTAAGAGATTTAAAAATTCCTTTTAGCAGTGATGGAACAGTATAATTACATCTTTGTCAGGCACTATGATAACTGGCAATAAATCATTCTGTATACTTTTAAATGTTTAAGTTATTAAATTCAGACCTATATAGGATGATTCTAATGAAACATATTTTAGAACTCAGTAAGTGGAAGAATACTAAAATTAATATGGATTCTGTTCAAAGAATATGGAGAAGGATTCTTTTAAAAGGGAAAAGAAATAGTTTTAAACAGTTCTGCTTGGAGTAAACATGCCCTTGTTCTACCGTAAAGCATGAAAATAAGATGAATAAAATAATTGAGGCAAGCATAAGATGTGACGTTGCACTTGTTTGCATTTTGCAAACATTGAAAAAATGAATGAAATGGCAATTGCACTTTGATTCTTTAAACAAATTAAAAAGATCTATTACACAACATCATTTAGATATATGTGCTGTAGCCAAATTATGTATATAAAATAAAACCTTACTGCCATTTATTCATATTACATACAGTGGTTATTTTGCCAGAACCTGGATCATACTTGGAAAGGTATTTTGCAAAAAGAAAGGCAACACTTGGTGGCATAACTTGAGGGGTGTGGTCCACAAACATTATTTTAAAGGGGTTACTCATGTGGAAGAATAATGACATTCAAAGTTGTCATATGGAATTAAATTGAGAACACATACCGTTTAATCTAGATAAAATGTTTAAAGAATAGTAGGCTGAGTTGATTTTAAAATTGTTTCCTATTCATCTTTTTAGTTTTCCATTGTAAAAGAATCCTGCAAAAATCCTAAACCTCTTACTGAAACTTTCTGTGCATTGACTGAACCAGGTTTGTGCATTTTTTCTCCTCATTTTCGTTAATAAATAGACTTAATAAAGTCATTTAAATAACCCCATGCTGTATCAAAGGTTGGAGAAAATGTTTATTTAGAGTAAAAATCAAGCGTGATATGTTGTATTTTTTAATAGTATACATATTTTGTTCTGTCGAACTTTTAAATGAAAATTATGAACATCAACTGTAAGTTATGACAGTGACATTAATAAGGAAAAGTTCCTATTTAGGAGAGAAGTCTAGAGTTTTATTTTTATAATTGTTAAGGAAAACAAAACAGGAATGTGAAAGTACTCCTCTGAATTTTTGCAGTTTATTTTAAAATGTGCTTTCCAGAACAAAATTAAAAACATTGTAATTCTGCTGAGGAATATATTGAAAAAGTATATATGCAATACCTGTGTCTGCATTTTTTCAATGAATGCAGTGGTATTTTTCAAAGTGTAACTAGTTGCTTTGTCTTGATGAAAATCCACTCTTTGAAAGCATTGGGAAAAAGAAATGGATTTCTTCTGTAAATATAGGACAGGAAATATAGTAGGCTGAGTTGATTTTAAAATTGTTTCCTACTCATCTTTTTAGTTTTCCATTGTAAAAGAATCCTGCAAAAATCCTAAACCTCTTACTGAAACTTTCTGTGCATTGACTGAACCAGGTTTGTGCATTTTTTCTCCTCATTTTCGTTAATAAATAGACTTAATAAAGTCATTTAAATAACCCCATGCTGCATCAAAGGTTGGAGAAAATGTTTATTTAGAGTAAAAATCAAGCGTGATATGCTGTATTTTTCAAAATACTATTATTGCTTAGATAATACTTGTAAATATAATACGTAATACTTTAATTTTTTACTCCGCTGCGCATTTTGAAAATTTATATTCTATACAAGTTAGTAGTGTTAATAGAATGCTTAAAATTTATGTACTTTTTAGTGAAGAACATGATAAAATTTATGCTAATTCATAAATCTACTACTACTAAAAATTATGAGCACAGCTTTAGAGATGCTAAACACAAGAAAATGAATTATCTGAGAATGATAGTATTCGTCTGTTAAAGAAAGTTATCATTGATTTATATTCTTATCGATAAATGGCGCTATACACTATACTAGGGTGGGCAAAGCTTTCTATTGTCTGTGACTTGCAAGCTGGAAGATGTCGAAATAACACTTTTTGTTGCGGATTTCCACTTGACTAATTAAGAATTTATGTTTTGAAAAATGGTTAAGGCTTTCAAGATAGGAATTTTATTTAAAAAAATTATAGTGCCAACTGAAGGTGAATATTAAAGAATCCAAGTTGACAAAAAAAATTAGATCCTGCAATCCATTTTAACATGGTAATAAATTGCTTCAGTTAAGTAGTGAATTTTTCTATCAGAATATCTTCTTATCAACAGCGTATAGTGCTGGTTGCATTTACGAGGGAGTAATTTTCTCCCTTTTCTCTATCAGGGTTTTTACTCCATGTATAAGCGACACAGGCAGCCATCTTGAGTGCTGATTTTTGGAAAACCCAAGAGCAGGTGCAATCAATGCGATTGCACCAGACGGCATTTTTTTAAAAAAAATTTAGGTATGCAACTGGGTGGCAAAATTTCAAATCACAATATCCTTCTATGAACAAATATCCTTCTAATATTATTACATATAATATCCTTCTATAATATTTTTCAGAATAAATCTCACATTTCAGTGTTTCATAATTAAGTCATGCCTATGGCTGTGATGCAATACCATGTAGGTCCTGTACTAGATATTTTAAAGACGCGGGCTAATATTGGCATTCTTTGAATAGCTTGTGAAACATCACTGAGATACTGAAACTGTAGGTTACTTAATATTCAGAACATTGCTGGGAGATTTGTCAAAATGTCACCCATGACGATCAGAGCTGTCTCTGGCGGGGTTGCAGCGTGTAAAAATACGCGGGAGGCCAGACTCTCGCGATACTACGCCTAAATATTTTAAATTCGTTGTAAGTACGTGTCATATGTAAGTACTTTTTATACAATTTGTCATATGTAAGTACTTAGTGAGTATGAAATAAAAATTTTATTAATCATTGAGCTTTTTTTTAATTTAGGGGCGGCAATCTCTGGAAAGTACGCGGGCAGCCAATGGCCTAGGAACAGCCCTGATGACGATATATGAAACGGAACGTCTAACAGTGCTTGGATAGCCGCCTTATGTCTTTGCTGTGGGGACGCATAGGATCTATCTAAGAAAATCCTTCTTTGATTCGGTATCGTATGATGAAGAACAAGTCAGTCCTACTAAAAAGATGGACTTTTGCATCGTATCGAACATACACTGACGACATATCAGAAACCCTCCGACCAACATTAAGTGGATTAAACTCAGTTTAATCCACTCAATGCTGATCTACGTAGCAGTAGTTACTGCCCACTACCTTTTAATGTCCAGCATTTTATTATTGTCGAATTTATTAAAAAACATTTATGAAAATATGTGGTAAAATTTCAGAGGGATCCAATGATGTCACTAGTTTTCTGTTATTTCCGTTTTGAAATTTAAATAAATGGACATTTCTAATATTTTTCAGAATAAATCTCACATTTCAGTGCTTCATAATTAACTCCTATTTTAGTATTTGGTATTTTAGTTCATCAAAGATATAGTAAAAATGACAAGTTTAAATTGAAAATTTGAATTAATAATAAAGGTTACAACTACACTAGGGAGAATTATAATCATTGTATTACAATATTTGAGAGTAATTAAGCTAGCTAATTGATTTTTAATATTTTAAATAGTTACTTGATTCAATTAGTGAATTTAATTTCGGAGAGAATGTTTACTTAGATTGCAATACATTTGTTCTCTTTTTAATTACAAACAAAGAACTTTTCTCTAACTTGAATTGTGATTATTTTTAAATGAAAGCAAAAACACACTAAAGCTGGGAAAAATTATTTTCTCGTTGGAAATTAATTGATTATCGTACCTTTAGAGAAGAGTTATTCTCTAAAATTTTAAGAAACGAAGGAATTTATAAGGATTTTTTTTTAATTGCTAGCTAAAAAATAGTTCATTAAAGTATTAAAAAAATATTAACAAGAAAAAAGTGTGGGAAAAGATCTGATAAGATAGAAAGTACTTTCTTTTCAAAGTCGTGGGGAAGCTTCCTTTTTAAAAGACTTGTTATTAAGCTTTTTATTGATTATGATTGTAGTATTTCTGAAGAATGTCTTATTCAGCTATTTTTCATTGAACGTTAAGCTTTAGATTCTTACAAATTAATTTCCGGATTCACGAAGCCTGCAGTACAACGGTAAAGCCTTTCAGTGTCTTACGTGTTTATAATTAAACTATTATTTTCCCATTATTTGTTAAACAAGACAAAAAAAAAATTTCAAATGCGATGAAATAATAATAATGTGCATGTACATGCAGTTAAACATTTCATACTTGGTTGAATTTCGACTCTGAAACTTAACGAATATTAGTTGAATTTTGACAGTTAATGGAGGTCTTTCCATATTTTGGGGGCCGTTACGCAGAGCTGGGACAAGAGTGAGACAAGTGTCGGATGAACAAAGAGAAGGAGGAGATAGGTAGAAAGATTTAGAAATTCATTTTGAAAAAGAAATTATGATTTTTAACTTTCAACTTTTTAATATATCAAAGAATATCAGAAGAATCTTGTATTATTACGTATTATGCCGTTACGCAGAGCTGGGACAAGAGTGAGACAAGTGTCGGATGAACAAAGAGAAGGAGGAGATAGGTAGAAAGATTTAGAAATTCATTTTGAAAAAGAAATTATGATTTTTAACTTTCAACTTTTTAATATATCAAAGAATATCAGAAGAATCTTGTATTATAAACAATATAGCACAAATAAAAGGAGAATCCCTAACATCAATTTATTGTCGTACGAAGTAAGTTTCATAATAACCGCATATAGTATTATTTTCCAGTATTAAAATCTGTGATTGGAAGTAGCATAATGAAGTTAATTTAAATTTATTGCAACGAAATACATAGACTAATTTGCATAGAAAATATCATACTGCCGACATTAGTAATTCTTTACCGTTTTCCATTAATTTTAACTATAGCTTTTACTACTCCTACTTTGCCAAAACGAGCTTTCCGAAGTCCTCTTACTCGACGTAGACGGTGATGCAATTGCTACCAGTTTGTTGCAAGAGATATAACGATATAGCCCTTTAGCACACAGGAACTGCAGAAATTATAGTGTATGGAAGTGAAATGTACCATGTTATTAGTCTTTGCTCTCTTTTTTCAGAGGGTGTAAAATTTACCAATGAACATGGAAGTTTTGTGTTCTTGTATCCCCATTTGATTTGTGTGGAAACTATCCTTACGATTTCATTTATGGTTATTTCTGAAGCAGACACATACTTTTAAACGAATTGGCATTTTTTTTTTTTTTTTTTTTTTTTTTTTTTTTATAATTCTTTGTCGTTTGGAAGTTGGGTGAGTTTGAGTTTGTTTTTATACATATCTATGCTGTATAAAACCAAATAACAAAGATCTTGCAGATTTCTTTGCTCCTGATGAAGAGGGACCTGCACCCGTTTGCTCTCGAAATCGATTGAGTTGTTGACTAAACATGCTCCAAATACAAGGTTATTGCTTTGTTAATTTTATGATACAAAATTTTTTATTATATATTCATGAGATTCTATTCAAATTAATAATTATTTACTCATTATAAAACATAGCACATTTTCTTGTTGTAAATCAATGTAAATTAATAAATAAGAAACTAAAAAAAAAAAAAAAAAAATACAATATAATAATAAAATAAACTGTGATGACAAAATGGACAGGTCCTCTAAAAGAGAATCAGCGTAACTACTTGCTGATGATTGTGGGATGCTTAAATACAATAGTAATAAAAACCTCCATTCCTTATATATTAAAATTTCTATTTATGATTTATGGTAATAAATTTCTATTTATGTTTTCAATTCATAAAATTAACTCATTTTAATACTGAATGAAATTAAAATTCATTTGAAAAAGTATTTCAATTTGTTGCCACTCGGAAAAGCGTAATCAAATTTAATCATCAAACTTGGCGATTTAAAAGAAACGAGTTTCCACTTGTCCGAAATAGAATATTTTATTCAGATGGTACTATATTTTTATATTCTTCTATTTTTACCATGCTGCATTTAAAAAAGAAATGCAAAGACAGACATTGCAATTCTAAAACTGAAATTCTTTTTTGTGTTGAATTTTAATTTTATTAAATACTAGCGGACAAGCCCACAGATGAGCAGGATGTTCATGCAAAAAACTAATTTATAAATAAACTTTTTGTTACCAAATCAGCGTTTTCAGAGTTTTAAATTAATATCTCGCAACAACCGGCAACAATCAAAAATTAATGTCGCGCCCAACCCGTAACAACCAATTTCTTCCTCACGGACTGGAGGAAACGGCGTTCGCGAATGTCCTCATCTCCTTTCTTCTTGCTTAAAAGCAAGATTGCTACAGAACCAATTTCTTAAATAAATTTGCCGTTATTTTGTTTTCAGAGTTTCTGATTAATATCTCTGCTGTTAAAATCGCACGAAGATGGGAACGGTCGAAATGGCTTCCCACGATTTTTTGTAATCCGGGGGAGGGGGGGAGAGGTTACTTCTTTCTCAACTCAGCTCCCCGCCATTCCGGAGGATGTGATGTTACAAAGAAACAGACCCGCACAGATTTTTTAATACTATAAATTAAAAATTTAACTTTATGAAAAAGTGATAGTAAATGTTATTTTTATTTGGGAAGGAAAGAAAAACAGTCATACGATTTTTCTTATTATCAAAACTTTTTTATTCTTTAATATTTTTAAAAAAATAATGACACATTCTTTTTTTTTAGGGTATGTTGCAAATTTTTTTATTTTGTTAATTTTGCTCTGGTCTCAACAAAATGTGTAATAAATCTCGCTCAGACTCAGCTCCACTATCCTAAAAATGTTCAGAAGTCTTCACATCTAAAGACATATATATACATACATATAATACAAGGGCTCCAAATATGTGACCTGGAATGTCTACAAGGGTAAATTCGTGATTGGTCTACTTTTCAATGTCGCTGTTATGGTAAAATAAACTGAAATAATCAACAGACAGTTGCCACGTCTTTCAACCATCCGTATATAGTATATAGGAGAAGGAAGGAGAAATTTAGTTTGAAATAACCGGACACATAAATTTTCGCATTCATTGCTGAGAACAATGTTCTTCTTGCATTGTTCTCATATAGAACTGGACTGAAGCGTGCTGCATCAGAAGGTCAAGTGGAAAATTTAGATTTTGAATGCTAAGGTAGGTTGTTTATTTGAAGTAGCTTATCAAACTGACTTCCTCAAACACTGATGAAAGTTCCAAGATCTACCTTTACAGTTCACAAAATTTAAAGTTACCATAAATTTTATATGTGAATTTCCTAATATCCTTTTGACCTCTGTTGTTCGGATTCTAGTATAACACTTGAACGAGTTTACGGCATGAACACAGCAAACTATCACTTTTTATCATTTTTTTTTAATCATAGAAAACTTTATAATTAACATCACATTAAGAATAGTACAAATACAAATGCTTTTTTTTTTTTTTTTTTTTTAGTATTATAAAGGTACCAGTAAAGAGGGTACAAAATGCATTTTCTGTTAAAATCGTTCATTTCGAGAGCATAATTTAGAAATTAATTAATTTTTTGGGAAGTAGAGGGTAGAAACGATTTGCAGAAGTTATACATTTTGAATTAAATTTTGCACAAATACTACCCTTGAATTTATGACAAACTTATTTTTGCTCTAAAGTATATGTAATATTTAAAAGATTTGAGTTAAGTATGTCTGTAGCTGTTTCTTTCCCATCTTTCGCATCCTGGCATCCGCATAGCTTAGGAAACTGCCAGTTATACAAACTTTTGCTATTCTACGTGGTAAAAGACTTTTAATTCATCTCAAATCATAATATTATGCCCTTTACGGCAGCTGAATCTTTTATGAAAAATGCGCAATTTTTTAATAATGTTATTATGCATACCATTCTTTAACTATATTATTTTACTTAGATTGTATTGTTAGTAAAACTATTGAAAACATTTTTAACGCTGTTAGTTGATTTCATTGATGAAAGTGTTAAAATCTGCGCTGTTTAAATACTGTGAGCCTTCTTGTAAATGTAAAAAACAGGACGCTCTACTAGTAAAATTCAGAGACTAGTTTCTAAACGAAATAGTACACTATTCACAAAGCTTTAAGTTTAGTTTAAATCGAGGTTTTCGACCCCTGGCATCAGAGCCCTTTGCTTTCCCCATGTAACCGGAAAATGTAAAATGAAATGACTGATTACTCAAATGAACTGTATATATCATTAAGACCGAAACCAACTAATAAATAATGTTTCAAAGAATGAAATAAATGCAAAATACACTGAAATTAGAGCAATATGACATAAAATGCAATAAGTCTATGGACAAAGTAATATAAGCAGCGAAAAATATATGCATTCATTTTCGTTTTATCAAAAGACTTTGAGAATAAATTTCAAGA